AGGGAGGTAGTGGAAATTCAGGGTTGTCTGCTTAAAAGACCAGGGGATAGGGAGGTAGTGGAAATTCAGGGTTGTGCCCCTTAAGAAACCAGGAGAAAAAGAGGTAGTGAGAATTAAGGGTTGTCCCCTTGAGAGACCCCGAGATAGGGGGTAATAAAAATTAGTTATTGACGATTTACCTGCTGTAGTTGAAACAAATGTTATAGTAAGATTACCATATGAAAAGAAAATACTGACTTACAATTGAAACTGTGGCATCATTTGTACTGGCAAGACTAATGCTAAATCTAAGAGTTTACAAGCAGCCAGGTAGAGACCCAGCCATTGCTTGGTATGAGTGGGTGGAATGCCATTCAGGGTAGAGGATTTGGTAGACTCATTAGAACCACTTGTTGTCCTCTCATCTTCACCAAATAACTGCTCTTCCATATGTAGAAACACTTGTACCTTAGATAAATGTTGGAACAAGTTAGATTTAGGGAATGTTAAAAAACCATAATGACATTCAGTACAATCAAAACAATTTATTGGTACCTTTTTGGAGACATATAAATACAGTAACTTTCTTTTATATTGATGATAAGTTATTGTAATTTTAGTAAGCACCAGACAAATTTGGTATTTCACACAGTTTAATACCATTGATTAAATTATTAACCTTATTAATCAATGATGACCTTAAGGCACAATTCAACAATAGTGGTCTGTATATGAAGACTAGCAACACATGTCTTTTTAATTTTCACTCCATATCAACACAGATAATAAAGTAACATTGGACATAAAGACAAATGATTACCATTTCAGAGATGACAGTTGGCCAGAGTCCAGTCAGATGTTGGGGTGACATTCTCAGTAGAAGAACACGAAAACACATAAACACCTGTTCATGTACTACAGGCACATGTATCAATCGTAAATTTTCAACCAATCTTTCCTGTATATCAGGAAGGAACTTTTGATACTGGTCTATTTCACTGCAGAAAATACAGAATGAAAGCCTTTTCAATAGTTGGGCTCTCTGTTCCATTTCTTGCTCTTTATTGGAGAATAGGTTCAGTGATGACGTATTATGCACTGCGGCCACTTTACCTGAAAATCAAATATTCATAATATTCTCAGTGGGGACTTTAATATAAAACAATAATAAACAAAACTAAAGTGAAAGCAGAAATCCTCTATTAGAACATGCAACAAATGACATAATGTATAAGGGTATAGCTCTAGAAAGGTACATCCCATAATACTCAATGTATATACATGTACCATCCATACATGCACAAGGACTGGTTTTAGAATAGAAGACATGCTAGATTTAGATATATTTTTAATGTTAAAATGGCCGCCAATCAGTCATATTGAAAGCAATGGTCAAACAAATTTATGTACATATGTATGACAAGATGTATGATGTAATAAAGACATTATTTTGCAGTGAAAACAATGTAATCAAAACTGGTGTATGAAGTACAATCTGTTTATCCCTAATATAATCAGATAGTTTCCATGGTAGTATGACATAGTCGTATGTACAATGAAATCAATACAGGAGATGAAAAAACAATAACTACTGCTGATGAACAATGTTGAAATCTGACAAAAATATTGTTTGAGGCCTTTCTGATCAACTCAGTTTATGATACTTCAGACAATAAAGAGTTAAGACTTACTCATCATATCTCTGTATGTTGTCTTATCATGTGTCATAAGATTGTCTATGATGGTACGCCATCTGTAAAACATGACAGCAATTATAATAGCTAACAAATGGCTATCACACACAGTTGACCCATACAGGAAATCCAGAGAAAACTAAGAGTACCCAGTAAATTAATAGTATAGCGTAGTATTAGGATTTAGCCGGCACCAGGACAACATCTACTACATTGCTATTCTACACCACTTACCAATCACTCATCTACTCGCAATGTATGATAACATATAAATATATTAAAACACAAATATTTCTAATTTTTATTGCTGCATGACAATGTGAATGCCTGGAAGGGAATGAATTTCAAGAATGTTCACTGAAACTCAATAACAGTAATAGACTCAAGCACACTTGTGTTACATGTATGTGCTAAGTTAACCCTCAAACATATATGTCACACAAACTGTACTTTCACTGAATATGGTTAATTATTGTCATTTGAATATAAGGCATTGTCATCTCTCATATTCCCATACTCCAAGCTGATTGGAAGAGAGCTGGTCATGTGGAATGCAGTAAATCTTAATATGAAAATCATGCTGACATGAACATACCATGCTGATTGCTGAATTGTGAGCAAACTAGGATATCAAAATGCAGAAAAAGTCTGTACGAATAGGTTCGGCAAACATGATTACTGTGACAATCAGAACAATATTGTCAATACAGATGTTGTACTATTTTACTTGCTTGGCATGAGTAGCTGATAAACGTTGCTAACACAACATAATATGCACTGAATTTGACTGTGCCTTGGTAAATAATTGTCACATCCGAGATACAAATATTCATATACACCTAAGTTGCATATAATGATTTTGTTGGTATATGCCTCATATAAATAACTTACCCATGTATACATATGGCATCCATTTGAAAGAAATTTGCATCTAAAAATAGTTCATTGGTATCTTTTCTCCAAGCTCTTCTGGTGTACTGGTAACCACTGAGACTAGACAGTAGAGCAACACAGGCACGGAAAGCTGGCATGTTGCCAGAACTAAGAAAAAAATGGACAATCACATTGAATCATTATATAATATATTTACAGATGAAACAATAATGATGTCAATAACAGTGTTTTCACAGTTAAAGATTAACACATCAGAGTAGCATACAGACAAATGTTAAAGGGGAACTAAATAGAGCCTAATTTGGTGTTTGTATTTATCAAGTTATGTATATTGATTATAAATTTGAAAAAAAAATAGAAAAAAAATGATTATCTTCAGAGTTATGGTGATTTAAATATGAGAAACCATAAACCTGCGAAGGATTTTTGTTTGCGCCATCTTGCCATAAAAAAACACCCTCATGAGGTATAAACAGGTAAGATAACAAAGCATGATAACAAAATAGTATCTGATTAAATATAAGCAACTTAGGGAGCCATAGTTGGCTGAACTGGTGAATTGACTTCTAGTCTAGATTGTTTCGACTTTTACGTTAATATTATTTACAGGCATATCAACATACAAACATTATGGATGTGCGATTGATCGAGACAGGCATTTTGTTTTCTTTTTTGTCTAACTGTCTAATAAATGCTGTTTCCAGTACTGCACTGTGCGGGGTTCAAATTATTCAAAGTATGGATGCTGGAGTATGCAATCTTGAGTTCGTAGGGTGGTGGTGGAAACATTTTCGTCCATGTATTCACGGGACTGCACTGGCAAATCATGGGACAATTGTCACAGGAACACCAAGCAGATTGTTCACAGACTTCCGTGAAATTTGAAATAAAACTATCATCCGAACAAGGGGAATTATACTCATGGACCAACTCAGAAAAGATGATTTTGTTTTGGAGTTAAACACTAACAACAACGAAAAATTATCCCAAAAAATTATTCGTTCACCACGCCGGGCTCGGGAAAATAATACTTCTTTTTGAAAAAAAAATGCGTCATTGATTTACACAACACTTACAATGAAGAAACAAACATGTTCATAACAAACACACATTTTATTACAATACGATTTACATACCGTCTGAATTTACGGTGAAATAATGGGTAGGGTTTGTGGGGAAACAGTCAATGGCATTTATCATTATCTTCGTTTTGGTATGTTTTTGATCGAACTTGTAGTAATTTGCATGTCAATCACGAGTTCGCAGGAACAGAACTGATCGTAATTTGTTTAAGGTAAACAAACATAATTCAGAAATTAAGCACCTCCATACAGATCAAAGTGTATCAGATAATTCTAGTGATGATGATTATTTGTTTAATGTCCATGATAAATATGGTGGGAAGCTACCATTTATTAAGTTGAATGTGAATGATAATTTTCTTGAATTTATGTTGGACTCTGGTGCATCTTGTAATGTTTTAAACAGAAACGATTTCGTTATTATAAGTGAAACTGTAACCTTTGTGCCAACCAACAAAAATGTATTTACATATGGAAATCAACAGAAAGTAGATGTGCTAGGTACTGTTAACGCTAATGTTGACTTGGGTGGGCGATTTGAAAATCTGAAATTCATGGTCGTTGATAATGGGGATTCGTCTATTTTAGGATATCCGTCCGCAAGTCAACTTGGGTTTATACAGATCAATCCTAGCCACTCTAATACTGCATCATTTGTCGAAAAAAATATGTCCTCGAATTCTGAACAAGGTTGCTCTCGCACATCTGTATTTCATAATATTGAATCTACATTGAATACTAATGATTTGAATATTCCAGGTGTTCCGGTCTCGGTGCATGCAATTGTATAGAAATATACAAATGTTTTCACTGGGATGGGAAAATATTCTGCTAAGAGAATTAAATTACATGTGGACACAAATGTCAAGCCTGTAAGTCAAAATCATAGACGCATTCCATATCATTTACGAAAGAAAGTTGAAAGAGAACTGCGTTCTTTGGAAGAAGCGGATATCTTGGAAAAAGTGGATGGTCCAATGCCATGGGTAAGTCCCATTGTTGTCGTTCCAAAACCCAATACTGTTAATGTACGGATACGTTGAGACTACAGGGCTCCTAATTTGACAATACAACGCGAAAGGCATGTGACACCCATTGTCCAAGAACTTAATTATAAGCAACAACAATTTTAAAATACACTATTCTTGAAAAAAACTAAATAACAATCTCCACCAGTGACGACAATGTGATGGAAATGACACAGGTTTGCATTTGATATGTTGATTCATGATAACAAAAATATAATTAATTTTCATAACAATACAAAGAATATCTTAAAGCAGGAGGGTGGTCACCTGCGCACACATGGGCATTGAGTCCCAAGCAACGATAACAACACACTCTAAAAATGCAAAGGCTCATGGGTATATGCTTGTTTGTAAACAATGACACGCCATGGCTTTCTGATGCATGAACAGCAAAAACGCCTATTGGAAATGAGGTTCATTATGTACCTGTGATTTTTGAGATAGGGTGTTACATTCAAACTGATTTGCTGTAGTAATGGTACAACTTTTTCTTTCTCATCACTACCATAGATTACATCAAGTAATTGAGCCAATATCTGAAATGTAAATAATTGTAAAACATTAGATATTATTAGTTAGTAAAAGTTAATGAAAGATAAAGCCACACCAGCGATTTCAGAGAATATAAAACCATACCAGTAGTTTCAGAGTAGACAAAGTCATATTTCAATAGTTTCAGAGAAGACAAAGCCAAGTAACTTGATCAAAGCACTATCTTACCTCTGACAACAGTGTCAAAGCCTGTACACTTTGTGAAACCTGACAAATAGGACTTGATGAACCAGATGGAGGTACCAATTCTTGTTTACTGCTTTTACTAGACATTTCTATTTCTGGCACTGGAAGACTATCTTCCACTGTCAAAAGAAATATAAAGACAGTTATTTTTTTTAATTTAAATTATGTCAATTATTGCAAGTAACATAGTTTGAACAATCTTATCTCTGCTACTGAGTTTCTAATCACATGATGACTTACAGTCAAGATCTTCAGTGTATGCATCATGTGGACCAGTAATCACAGATTTCCTGCTTCTCAGCCATTTACTATGTCCCAGTGAAGAAGCGACAATTTGATTGGTATTTTCTATTAATTTATGCGTGAGTTCTTGGAGGTCTTTTTGATCTTTGCGATCAGTGAAACTTGGACACTTCATCACATACTCATTGAGAATTCTGTAAATATAACAAAAATAATTGTTTCTAATTTGTATGGTTATTAATGTAAGAAACTACCATTACTTAATTTGACACAAGGGTATATATAGTTGTGTTATCAAGTTCATGCATTTACCACTTAAGTTTCATGCACACTTGCTAATACTAGTAAGTGATTCTAAAACATCGTTTAAAACACAAGAGCTATTGCTGTCAGCTGTCAAGTTATCAGTCAGACAACCAATACAGAATTTGTTAGACTCACCCAAGAAGCAAAAACTGTCCTTGCGGTGATAGATTTAGTTGTAATCCTTCTTTCAAGAGTGCTTGTACACCCGGCCAGGAATCAACCAGCTGTGATGTGGACACTTTACAAATATACTGATAGAAAAACTGGAGGATATTTACTTCCAAAGAAGGCTGGTTCTGCAGAGAATATAGTAAAGAGTTCAACATTACTTTCTAATTCTATCTACAGATAGTGATCAATGAAACTTGAGTTCTATCATTCTATCACCAGAGGGTGCTTCATGAAACAGTAAGTTATATCAACAGAGGGCGCTTGATGAAACAGTAAGTTATATCAACAGAGGGCGCTTGATGAAACAGTAAGTTATATCAACATAGGGT